AGATAGAGGAGAGAGATAGTCATTCCTCTCCCCTCCCCAGAGGAGAGAAAAAACCTTTTACTCCTTTGAGACTGGACAGAAAGGGCCTGGGGTTCTCACCCTCATCTTTTGGAATGGGAATATGTTTTTCCAAGGATATGATCGATAGATCTATTATCTATCTATCTATCTATCTATCTATCTATCTATCTATCTAGGTGAATCTTGCTGTTATGACCCAGATATGGGTCCAAATTCTAGGCTTCACCCCTTTGGACATACAAATCCCTAAGGAAGTAGTGTTTCAGTTTTGCTATCATCTTGGGGCTTAGCCAAGAGCAGAGTCTGGGCTGTAAACATCTGGCCCTCTAGGGGAGATAAGAATTTTATTATCCTTTCAGATCTGGGCAGTTAACTGGACAAATGGCTTATGGAATGTGAAGAGTAAAATATTTCTGAAGGAAGTGAAAAATTTTATCTTTAGCCATACAGGTTTCTGTGTTTCAATAAGCTAGGGTTTTTGCAGAAGCAACAATAAATTCAAGGACATTTTATTTCTCACAGTATGGCATTAAGAAATGTGAGTGGGAATGTCAGCAGTATTGAAAAGCTGAATGAAAAGAAGATGAATGTTCTCCACAAAGAAATGACAGTGGAAGATGTTGCCATTGAGACGGGCCTCCTGATTTCAATGGAATATGGGCTTTGAGAGCCAACTTTAGTTCCAGAGTCAAAGTGGGTACAAATGTCATAATAGACAACAGGGATGAAATTTTAATCAGAATGTTTTGACCTATAGGGATCTTTGGTGATGGCTAAATGTTCACATTGTCTCTAGGAATTTTTTTTAAAAAAAGATGATGGCTTACTTAAATATGATTTGATCTATATTATAGAAAAACTCTAGATCTGGTGACCAGAAACCTGGTTTGGGTTGCCACAATGGAGTGACACGGTCTGCCCTCCATTTTCTAGAACCAAGCCAGTTGTTAGACCTGGAGAAAGAGCCAGAAACACTATCATAAGTAAGTGTATTTCTTCCTTCAAACCTGCCCCAGTAATAGATCTGTGATCACTCCTAGGGTTATTGTGCATATAGAAAGAGAAATACCCAGCTGCATTACCTGGATCTTTTGTAGATTACTAGGTAGATACTGATTCTGACCTGCTGCTAAATTTGGGAGATTGAATATACCTTTACACTCCACAGCTCAAACTGGAGGCTTCGTAGTAAATGGGGTTTGTAACCAGGTCCATCTCACTGTGGGTACAGAGGGTCTGTGGGCCAACCTTATCTATATACTCTAGTTTTTGAATGTATAATTCAGGAGTTGGTAAACCTTCTATAAATGCTTAGAGAGTAAATATTTTAGGCTTTGCAGGCCATATGGTCTCTGTGGCAACTATTCAGCTTTGTGATTTTATTATGAAAGCAACCACAGACAGTATGTAAATAAATGAGCATGTCTACGTTTTAATAAAACTACATCTACAGAAGCATCTAGGCGGGCCAGATTTGAATCACAACCATAGTTTGCCAACCCCGAGTAAACTTGATGTAGCAGTATCTGGAAGAATCCCCCCTATATCTCTGATCCATTAATGAGAGCTGCTACGTTAGGAAGAACCAAGAGGAAGACCCTGGGATTTTTCTTTCCTGTTAGAATGATAAATTTTAAAACTTGTAAACAGTGCTGCATCCATGGCAGAATAGCAGAGATCAGTGACAACATCAAAGATTCAAAAAAATGCAGAACTGATGGTTCCTAACACATTTCCGTTTAACTTGTTTAATTGGCCTACATGGAAGGCAGATAGACCTGGGAGAATGATTGCTATTCATTAGAAATGTAACCAGATGACAACTCCTGTTGCAGCTGCTATTCTAGATGTGGTATCTTTCCTGGGCAGTTCAGCATGTGACACTGAGTAGGCAGCAATTGACCTAGAAAATGCTATTTTCCGATTACCGAATTGCAAGGCCCTCCAGAAGCAGTTTGCTTTCACCTTGCAGGCACAATAGTGTATTTTCACGTTTTGTGGTACCAAGGTAATATTAATTCCCTTACCTGCCATAATCTAATTTGCAGAGATCTTGATGGTCTTTATATCTCAAAACATCACACTGTTCCACTACATGGATGGAACATGCTAACTGAACATGATGAGCATACATGACAGGATCTTGGATGCCTTAGAGACCTGAGTGCCATAAGGTGGGAGGTAAACACTATAAAATTCAAAGCCCAACAACTTGAAGTTTCTGGAGGCCCAGTATTTTTGGCATGTGAAAATATTTCCTCATTGGAAGAGGCCTACCACTTAAAAGAAAGGCATCACTTGGTGACATCATTAGTTTAAATATTATGGAGGCTGCAGAGATTTCTCCTCATGAGAAGAGATATGCATTTGGGATATAAATTTGCCTCTCCTACATGCAGTGCTTCTTATAACATTGCTATCCTTGACTTAAAGAATGCTTTACTTATCATCATGGTATTCTTTACAGTTTTGCCTCTGATCAAGAAATTACTTCGATGGCAAAAAAAGCAACAATAGGTTCATGCAATATGGAATTCATTGGCTTTACCATCAGATGACTGATAAAATGGTGGAATTACCTACTGAAGACCCAGCTATGATGTCCATTGGGAGGCTACACAAAAATACACCACATGAAAAATATCACAATGACACACACAAAATAGAGTAATGGATTCATACACATGAAATTCACTGCTTTTATCTTACTCAGAAGACAAACCCAATAAAATGGTGGAATGGCCTACTGAATACCCAATTGTGATGCCAATTGGGCGACAACACACCAAAAAGATAGGTTCCCTCTTACATGATGTAGTTTATACTTTAAATTAACTGTCAATTCACATACTGTGTCTTCCATAGTCAGGATATACAAGCTCAGGTATCAAGAGGTATAAGAGAGGGTTACTTTCTCTATGATACTTAATAACCCACTCACAGAATTTTTGCTTTCCAGCCCCCCAACTTTAGACTCTGCTTATTTGGAGGTCTTAGCTCCCAGGGAAGGAATTTTTCCACCATGGTACATACAAGGCTCCATTTAATTGGAAACTGAGACTGGCATCAGCCATTTGGGACTCCTTGTGCTACTAAACCATTAGAGAAAGTTAAAAGTTATTGTACTGACTGGGGAGATTTATCCTGGATACCAAAAAGATATTGGGGATCCTGTATAATAAAACCCTAATATGCAAATCAACTGAACTGCAACAAAACTGGTGGAACAACCGGTCACTATGATGCACACTGACCACCAGGGGGCAGGAGCAGGAGCTGCCCCCAGCCCGCAGGCCCTGACCAGCGGTGGCGGCAGGGGGCTGGAGGCAGGGCTGGAGAGTGGGCAGCGCCAGGCCAGCCAAGGCGGGTGCCAGCGGGGGGCCCCCCAATCGTCCCACTGGTTGCTCCACAGATCAGCCCTGATCACTGGCCAGGCCTAGGGACCCTACCCATGCACGAATTTCATGCACTGGGCCTTTAGTTCTCACATAATAGAAGCAGACAAGAAGTTCTGGTTATCTCCAACTATACTCAAACTGCCTCAAACAGAGTGGTATAAGACAACCATTTATTATGCTCACAGATTCTGTGGATTAGAGAAGGAAGAATGGAGATGCTTTGTCTCTGTTTCGTTTCCAGTGGAACGATATAATGCCATTAGAAAGAGAGATATAGAATGGATATCCCAGGAGAAGAGAGGGGAAAGGCAACAGAGGACCTATTCAAAGAAATAATTGATGGGACCTTCCCAAACCTAGGGAAGGAACTGGACATTCAAGTATAAGAAGATAACAGAACATGCAATTATCTAAATGCAAAAAGATCTTCTCGAGACACAGTACATTAAAACTGTCAAAAGTTAATAATAAAGAAAGAATTCTCAAGACAGATAAAAATAAAAACCAAAAGAAAAAAACAACAGTAACCTACAAAACAAACCTCAACAGATTTCTCAACAGAAACCCTACAAGCCAGGAGAGAGTGGAATGACATATTCAAAATATTAAAAGATAGAAACCACCAGCCAAGAATAATATATCCAGCAAAGTTATCCTTCAGATATGAAGGCAAAATAAAGATTTTTCCAGACAAACAAACCACAAGATCTGCATGACAAGTAATGTTTAAAGAAACACTTCACTTGAAACAAAAAGACAAGAGTACACAAAACTTTGAGAAAGAAGCATAAAATTGCAACTATTTTAGAACAGGGTGTTAAGCACTTAATTACAACATTAAGGTTAAAGAAAAAAAGCATACCCCAGCTGGTTTTGCTCAATGAATATAGCATTGGTCTGCAGACTGAAGGGTCTCAGGATTAATTCCAGTCAAGGGCATATGCCCGAGTTGTGGGCTCGATCCCCACTGTGTGTGTGTGGAGGGGAGGGGTGGCAGGAGGCGGATCAATGATTCTCTCTCATCATTGATGTTTCTATCTCTCCCTCTCCCTTCATCTCTGAAATCAATTTAAAAAAAAGAAAAGATTCTCTTTGTCTTTAATAGTTGGCATTTTAATTATGATGTGTCTTGGCATGAACCTCTTTGGATTCCTCTTATTTGGGACTCTTTGTGCTTCCTGAACTTTTAAGTCTATTTCTTTCACCAGGCAGAAAAAGTTTTCTGTCATTATTTCTTCAAATAGGTTTTCAATATCTTGTTCCCTTTTTTCTACTTCCTGCACTCCCATAATTCGAATGTTGTTATGCTTGAAGTTGTCCCAGAGGCTCCTTACACTATTTTGATATTTTTGGATTCTTTTTTCTTGTTTTTCTCTAGATGGGTGTTTTTTTGCTTCTGCATATTTCAAATCATTGATTTGATTCTCAGAATCCTCTACTGTTGAATCCCTGTAATTATTCTTTATTTCAGTTAGTGTACACTTAATTTCTGACTGGTCTTTTTTTATGTTTTTGACATCCTCACTAAGATCTTTGAAAGTCTCACAAGTCCCTTGAAGCTCTGTGCTCCTGCTAAGGCAGCACCTCCATCTCCTCCCAGCCGCCATCATGATCATCTACCAGGACCTCATCAGCCATGATGAGGTGTTCTCCGATATCCACAAGATCCAGGAGATTGAAGACGGGCTGTGCCAGGAGGTAGAGGGGAAGATGGTCAGTAGGACAGAGGGTAACATTGATGACTCGCTTATTTGGTAGAAATGCTTCCACTGAAGGCCCTGGGGGCGAAGGTACCGAAAGCACAATAATCACTGGTGTTGACATTGTCATGAACCATCACTTGCAGGAAACGAGCTTCACAAAAGAAACCGACAAGAAGTACATCAAAGATTACATGAAATCAATCAAAGGGAAGCTTGAAGAACAGAGACCAGAAAGAGTAAAGCCTTTTATGACAGGGGCTGCAGAACAAATCAAGCACATCCTTGCCAATTTCAAAAACTACCAGTTCTTTATTGGTGAAAACATGAATCCAGATGGCATGGTTGCTCTGCAGGACTACCATGAGGATGGTGTGACCCCATATATGATTTTCTTTAAGGATGGTTTAGAAATGG